ATGCCCATTGAAGCAGAGTTTATATTGTGGTGTATTGTTTGTATAGTAGTTCTGGTAGAGTTCATAAGCCAGTCTTTGGGTGGCAGTTTGTCGTCATAGATCTTGCTGGACATACGTGAAATTTGAGTGAAAGATTAAACTGTAAACAAAGGTGGACAGGCCATACAATTTTGAGTGAATCTGTAAACAAGGGTGTGACAGACCATTTGCTGGAGACAATATCTCCAGGGCAAGTTGAGATAAGTGGGATAACTGATAAACTTAAAATGCAGATAAGGGAAGGACATAAAGAACTGGTTCCTACATAATCCATACAATGTCCAAACCAATTAGATTCAAGAAATTCAGATTTTAGTAGTTAGAAAAAATGTATATAAACTGTGTGATGTGTAACATGAATTGGAATTGTGATATCACTATGTACCTAAACCCCTTACATCTGATCCTTGCCTAAAGTAACCTGAGTGATGAGCTGGAATTGAACTAAGTTTTTTGGACTCCCAGAGAACTAGATGAAATGTACTCCCAGAACTGGATGAGATGTTCTGGATAAGCCAAATGGAAAATCCCAACATGATTCAGACTCACAATACACTTATGCATCCTATTTGACATTTACTGGTCATGTTAAAAAGTCAGCCATATCATAGAAACATAGAATATAAGGGTTGGAAGGGACCCCAGAAGGTCATCTAGTCCAACCCCCTGCTCGAAGCAGGACCAATTCCCAGTTAAATCATCCCAGCCAGGGCTTTGTCAAGCCTGACCTTAAAAACCTCTAAGGAAGGAGATTCTACCACCTCCCTAGGTAACGCATTCCAGTGTTTCACCACCCTCTTAGTGAAAAAGTTTTTCCTAATATCCAATCTAAACCTCCCCCACTGCAACTTGAGACCATTACTCCTCGTTCTGTCATCTGCTACCATTGAGAACAGTCTAGAGCCATCCTCTTTGGAACCCCCTTTCAGGTAGTTGAAAGCAGCTATCAAATCCCCCCTCATTCTTCTCTTCTGCAGGCTAAACAATCCCAGCTCCCTCAGCCTCTCCTCATAAGTCATGTGTTCCAGACCCCTAATCATTTTTGTTGCCCTTCGCTGGACTCTCTCCAATTTATCCACATCCTTCTTGAAGTGTGGGGCCCAAAACTGGACACAGAACTCCAGATGAGGCCTCACCAATGTCGAATAGAGGGGAACGATCACGTCCCTCGATCTGCTCGCTATGCCCCTACTTATACATCCCAAAATGCCGTTGGCCTTCTTGGCAACAAGGGCACACTGCTGGCTCATATCCAGCTTCTCGTCCACTGTCACCCCTAGGTCCTTTTCCGCAGAACTGCTGCCTAGCCATTCGGTCCCTAGTCTGTAGCTGTGCATTGGGTTCTTCCGTCCTAAGTGCAGGACCCTGCACTTATCCTTATTGAACCTCATCAGATTTCTTTTCGCCCAATCCTCCAATTTGTCTAGGTCCTTCTGTATCCTATCCCTCCCCTCCAGCGTATCTACCACTCCTCCCAGTTTAGTATCATCATATCATCATATGTCTTTTTGATAATATGTACAGCATTTTTCATATAGAAAATATCTATATATTTTATTATTATAGATAAACAACCACCAACTAGAAGATGATATGCACAGCCACAATGCACAAAAGAAAAAATCAGTCTCATATAAGCCACAGAAACATCTTACTTATTGACAGAGTTAGCATGTTTGGCAAGCCCAAGGATAAATAACCCAATAAAGTCAGAGACCAGAAAGATCTGCTTCAACACAGACAACTGTGACTTAGTTTAAAACAACATAAATCAAACCCTGAAAACATAAAGGTTCTCAGGTTTTGAAATAAATGAAAAAAAAATTGAGCTGTGACCAAACACTGAAAAATGGTAATAAAAATTTCAGTCTCATACATTTTAAAAAAATATATGAATATAATCATTTTAATTAAAAAAAAACCCAGAACAGTTCCTTTGCTCTGTTCTAGCCACTTTTCATCACCCTAGCATCAGAAAAGGGCAGAAAGTTGGTATGAATCAGCTAGCTAAAATTCTGGTTCTCTGCCTCTTTAAGGAGATGCCAAGGGTGTGTCTAGAATGCAGTGTTCTCTGGTGATCCCCAGTTGTTATAATTGCCCTTGGGGGCCACTACCAGTTGGTGCAGTTTGAAGCTTTGAGACTGCTCTAAACTATGTTGGGTTAGTAACAGAGCAGAATTGATTTCAAGTACACGGGTTACACCCAACATTTGTAGTCAAATTCTATCTGTACAGGTAAAGATAAAATTTACCTAGTTAATATGAATAAATTAGATGACAAAACTACAACACAATTATTAATTGGGGCTCAAATCTGCTCACATTCAAGTCAATGGGCCTGGTTCTGCTTTCACTCTGGTATAAATTATGAGCGACTGCAGTGATGTTACATTAGTGTGAAACCACTAGAAGACAGAGGAGAATTGCACTCATGTTTTGTTAATTCACATTCAGTTTATCTCTGCTAAATAAGTAATTTTAATTTTTCTATCAACTTTAAAGGTGTGGTCATGTTATCATACATGGTCATTTTCTCACTGTCTTCCTAACATTTCCACAATTGCTTTGGATAACAAATACAGGTCTTTAGTTTCTGGGTTTTAGCTAACAGCTCTTTTAGAAGGTATTGGAAAAATATAGTGCACCTGTGCTGCGTTATTCACAGAGTTTCTTAAGAAGAAACAGTGTATTAAATTGTGACATTAAGAGTGAGATTATTCCCTGCCTCACACTGTACCAAGTCAGTCACTTTCATTCAATTTTTGTTAGAGTAAAAGCTAAGATGAAAATACAATTACTTTGTTAATTCATTTACATATGTTTGATTTTGTAAAACATTAAATATACAGCCTTGCAGTAAGTACTACAGGTAATTCTATAGTTTATGAAGAATTTGTTACATGAAAACAAAGAATAACACAGTGAAAAGCAAACTTAGGCCACTTAGGAAATATAAAAATGTCTGTTGGAAAGTCCTCTAATGGATCATTTAGTACAGACTAGATGCAATTAACCAGTTATCTTGATAGAGGAGTGTACAGTCTAGCATTAAATAATTGGCTCCATACAGGTATTGGTTACACAGGGCAAACCACTTTAAAAAGAAAAAGATATATTCTCCTACCAAAGCACTAACATCATTTCCATTAATGTTATGCAACTTGTGTCTCTTTTATTTTTTCCAGTTAGGATTCAGCTTGTTTCTATACTTCACCCTTTTTCTTGATAGCTATTTTCTTATAACTCAAGAGATCAACATAAAACTAAAGAGTCAAATCTTGCTAGTTTTACTCATATATGTAAAATTAACAGAAGTAATGCTAGATAAGTGTTCCCAGGAATACTTACTTTTATATTTTTGTATCTCATTTGTTCATCATGTTTTTTTTTTTCCTGACAGCTAATGTGTAGCTAGAAAAGTATTTTATTGACTTTACATATTTTCATTTAAAACTGATGTATAGAGTTTAATATTGTTAACATGATCCAAATAAATTAAACTATTTCCAGTTAAGCATGTATTTTTGATATACACAGATTTAATTTGGCACAGGTTTATTTACAGCATTCTGAATTATTATGGCTATTTTTCAAAATACCACAAACATTTCTCTGGCAGCAACACAGGAAATAAAAATGCCCCATGATTACTTTATTGTGCCTGACAAATGTATGTTTTGCTTAGATTTCTAATAAAAACAGAGGTTGCAAAATTGTCTCACATATTAAACAAAAGAAAGCAAAGGAAAAGTAACAGCATATTAATAGAGGTTGCAGAACTAAAAGGAAGTTAAAAAATCAGCTTTTTTCATGACTATTTAAGTATTATGCCTTCATTCTTTTGCTACATGGCTATACTATTGGTATTGTTGGTCAAGTTGTGAAAAAAAAATCAAACATTTAAAGCATACAAGTTAAATTTGTAATGGTCTCATTAATTGTGCCTGTAATATACAGAAGTGTGTAATTCTGATGTGCAAAATGGGCAGTTAAGTAGGCAAATACAAACTATGCTATATGCAATGTAATTATTTTAAATTAATTTTATGAGAGCAAACAGGAACCCCAAAATGCTGCAAGTCCTGTTAAGGACTCATTAAAAGCATGTCACTAAATATATCAAATGTCTTATTGCTAGATTTTATACAAAGACTAAATCAAAATATATTTTGTGTGGCACATGTACAAAGCAGAAGGAAAGTGAAAACAAATTCATAAGCCAAGAGAGTATTGAAATGGCCAGATTCCTAGAATGTACTAACCGCTTTGGGAGTTGAAAACACTCAACAACTTGCAGGCTAAAGCCCTAAATTAGCAAAGAAACTTCCAAGATAAGTTTCCTAAATGATCACTGATCTCCCTCTCAGACTAAATGAGCCAAATCTGTATGCTGAGCCTGATTTAGGCTACTGACCCCGTGGTGGAAAGTCTGCCAGAGGATGGGAGCAGTGGAGCAGGCTGGCCACAATCCCCACTCCACTTGGGAGGGCCAGAGTCAGCGAGCATAGACCAGAAAGATGTGAAGGGGGCAGCAGTAAAATCCTGGCTTCACTGAAGTTAGTAGCAAAAATCCTATTGACTTCAGCAGAGTCAGGATTTCATCTAGGAAAAAAATTAATTTGGTGTAGCTCTTGGGCAGACCCTTCCAGCAGGGCATCTGTTATATCTGGACACGTCTGCCCTACCCTGCTGTAATCTCAACGAGAGGGCAATAGACATACGGTTACCACCCTCCTCCAAGGCTGATGTTGTCCTCCAGTGAATGTAGAAAGATGCAAGTTTCACTATCTGCACCTTCAGGGTTTAACCAAGCTCATTATGTCTAAATAATGGAACAGATAACCATGATCTGGAACAAAACTGTGAAGCTGTGAATTCTGAAGAGAGCCTAGAAGATTTTCCTACAAGAGGGCCTACAGGCCATGGACCTCATACTATCCTCAAGAATTAAAATCACTTACCTCTTCTAGGACATCTGCAAGCTTACTGAGTATCTCTTCAGGAAGACTCTGGAATGTTGGAACACTGTAATATAAAATGGAAAAGAACTATTGTTTAATTAATAAAGTTAGTTTATTTCATAAAGTCAGTTAATCAACAAGGTTCCACGAGAGCCAAACAACTTTATTATTTATAATCAATATGGACTCAATCTTGTACTGTAGTTCTTAACTACCAATTTTAGCTTAATAAGCATAACTCTTCAGGATTGATCATCATAAAAGTAGCATACACAGTGAATTCTTATTTCTCTATGTCTCCTTGGGTATAATTGAGACATTCAATGGTTACAGAACAGGAAGCTACACGGAATAAACATTTTGAAGCTACGCCTTTCCTGTATAAGGTGAAATGTGAATATCTTCTCAAAAATTCATATTGGGAATCAGCTAAATGAAACTATGCTACAAACTCTTCCGAGTGGCTTGTCTTCTTGGCTGCCCCTGCTCTCACTTTCTTCTAAGTGCAGCTTCTATGCACACTTGAGTGGGCCACAATCCCTGGGCCAAAGTTTTCAAGCACAAAAATTAAATGTAGGCTCCTAAATCTAAATTTTGGATTCTAAATAATTAGGTTGATTTTCAAAATTGCTTATTGCCCAGCAGCTCCCAATTCACCTCAATGAGAGCTACTAGATGCTCCAAACTCTTGAAAATTAGCCCATTTATTTAGGAGCCAAAATCAGGATATAGGAGACTAATCTTAGGGTCTTATTTATGAAAATCTTGGTTCTGATTGCCAAGCAGCAGTAAACAAAAACATTAAAAAGGTGGCTTATACCCACTACCATTTGTGGTCCCTGGTCATGACCCGGGTCCCTCGTCTCTGCTCCCATCAGACTATTTTTCCTTCATGTGAATCATGTTCATTTCAGAGTGAGCACAGAGATGTGTTCACATTGGATTATGTTTTAAATTATCTTTTAAACCACTTGAAATAAATTTCATCTGATTTTTTTCAAGTGTTACAGTTTAAACCCTCCCCCACCCCGCTCTTCATTAACTTTGATTAACATTTCCAATCCTATTTTAGATTTAAATGTTAACACCATTGTAAAACTTCTCTGATAAATACATTATTCTTCTAATTAAATGCCAATTTAAAATATTTTTATAACCATACTAAGTGACATATTAGGCTTCTATGTTCTCTTCATTTTAACAATACTTGTATGAGAGAGGGCTAGTAGATGCAGCAAATTATGGATGAAATTCATCCTGTGCAAAGGGCCAGCCCAAGGCCAATCATTTACATTCCACTTTAGCTGTCAGAACAGAATGTATGTGGGAGATGAGTGGTGTATAGGCTTTGGGTGGGCCCTCTATACAGGGTAAAGTGTACCCTAAATGAATCAGTCATTTTTGCCTGGGTAGATGTGGGTTCAGGCTTTTTTTAGATCACTGAAATAGAATCCTCCCATAGTGTAGAGAGCCAACAGAAGGCTCTCTGCATCGCAGAAACCTTCCACAAGGACTGTGCTGGGGGTTTGCTGGCAGGACAGCCACACATGGGTGTGCACACACTCACATGAGGCACAGATCGTTCTTGGCAGCCCCATATAGTCCAGTGTGGAAAGCCAAGGGGTAACCCAGAAACGGTCCAGGGAGGGACCAAAGATCCCAAAGTCCCAGTCCCCAATTATACTTGTTTTGAGTACCATGGCCACAGATTGTGGCCCATATTAGCAACCTAATGCTAGGGTAGGGGTGAAAGAGGCAGTGCTGCAGTCCTGGACTCTGGACCTGAGCTGGATTTCACCTCGCTAAGTGGTCAATATTCCAGCCATATAAAGTCTGGTTCTATGCAGGTGGAGTTAATCCAGTCTTGAGAGGTACTGACTGTTCTTGTTGCACATCAAAGTAGTTAAAGGTACTCAGCACCTCACAGAATTGGGCTCCTGTGAGTCCTCAGTCCTGCAAGGGAGTGAAGCATCTGTAATTCCCATTGCTGTTTATGGCAGTTGTGGCTGCTAAATACTCCTAGGATAAATCCCCAAATTAACAGAACATTAACACTATTTATAGTAGTTTATAATATGCTCCATACCAAATAGCAACAGTATCGTATTTGGGGCCAAATCTCCTTCTCATGTGAAACTCCCAGTGAACATTTTTGAGCATGTGTTTACCAGAATTTGTCCCTATATGAGCTTAAAATTAATGTGTTCTGTGACGTGGTTTATAGTAAGTTCTTAAAGTAGACAGAATCAGTCATCATTTATTAAATATTAATGAAATATGTATAAAGCAACTGTGTATTATTAATTACTAATTGAGGCACAACTGGCCACTTATTAAATCATGAGATAAATAACATATACAATTAGTACTTGTTACAAAGCCTACTGAAATCAATGAGACCCTTTCCATTGAATTCAATGGGCTTTGGATCACTTAGATACTGACAGTAATTTTCAAAGGCTTTTGCAAACATCTAAATATATGAATCCCATCCAATCTATAAAAATAATGATGCAGAAGTGTTCAGAGTAATTAAGTGCTTGCTGTTCCAGTAATAAATACATTTTGGCAAATGTAAGGGTTTTTAAAATGTAAGCGCAAGCTTCTGTCATTCACAGTATTTTTTCTGCAAAACACTGTTTCTAATGGAGGTACACTGCTGCTACTATACTGTGGACCAAAGTAAAAAGATGGGACAGAAATTATTGCTTTGATATCCATGTATTACAGACATTCATTATTCCAGCTTTACCATTCTCACAAGAAGAATCAGAAAGAATGAACTGATAGAGTATTATTTCCTACAAAAGATAGCTGTCCAAAATTTTGCACTGTGAAATTTCACCGAAATCAGAATTAGGACAGAATTTAGCACACCACATTTTTAATGAAAGTATTTTCCCTTTTAGAACACAGAATCTTCTGCAAAAACTTTGCTACAATGAAGGTAACAGATCCATTACAGTCTAAGTTGTAGAAAAAAAACCTTTATGAAGCCTGTTTCTTAAGCAGATAAGAGAAATGGCTTTGTGTATGTTGTATCAGACAAACAATCTCAATGAACTAAATAGTCCTACTGTCAAAAGCTTAGGGTATTTAAACCCACAACATAAAAGGGTGAAGGAAGGAAGAAATGTCTAAAGCTTTTTCACTGCAATGGAGCAGATAATTAGACAATGAGAAATGTTGATAAAGCACAAGTCCCAAACAAATTATATCCCAGAATTACAAAATTAAATATCTTAGTAAACAGTAAGCCTTTAGAAAGGATTTATGATAGCTCAGAAAGGACCAGGGTGCTTCTAAATGACTGGAGGGTGGTAATACAGTTAGCTTGTATTTACATTGTGGAAGATGCTCAGATTCCACAGTGATGGACAAGTTTATAAAAATGTAGAAAGAATATATTAATGAAACGGGATAGAAAAAACAATTATTGATCTGTGAGCCTGATTTTATGAGGATTTTGAGATGTGAGATGATGATGATACACTGATAAGGAACAAGATTATGAAGATGGATAAGATTATGAAATGTGCAACATTATAAATGTATAACTCAAATGTATTGGATAATTAACTTGATATATAAAAAATCATGAATAACTCTTCTATTGATATTATCAAATTGATAGATGAGGAAAAAACAATAGACTTAGTTGGATTTCAGGAAAATTTTTGATATTATATTATACAACACATTTACTTACAAAGACCAATATTTTCAAGTATGAGCATCCTCAATTAGGCACCAGAACCCATATTCAGTCAACCATGTTTGAAAATTTTGGCTAAATTCAAAAAGAATAACATAGGCAAGGACTACAGCATTAGCAAAGAGATAAGAAAAAAGTGGTCATGAAGAAAAAGATATGTAGTAGAAAGATAATAACTGGGGTGATACAAGACTTAATATTTTTCTAACTTTTTACATACAATGTTTTCAGAAGGCTGCAAGTAGAAAAAAACCTTATTTTTGTTGATTGCTTAAAAGTGGAGAAGGCAAAGTCTGAAAATATGTAAAACAGAATAAACGTTATTCTGGATGTAATGTTAATTTATAAAGAAAAATCTGTTATCTTCAGAAAAAGAAAGATTAGAATGCAAGCTCATAAAGTAAGATCTTAAATGGAAAGGCATCAGTTCATGCTAACTACGGGAGTGACACCGTCAAGGTCACAAAATTCAACACACTTGCTGGAGAACCTAATCCCAACCTCTTTCACTTCCCTGTTTTCTGTAGATATTCTCCCCAAAGAGCAGGAGAAATTGGATATCCCTCTCTTTCCCCCCTTCCCTCCAGTGTCTGAGGAGCTTTTGAAGGCCAGGGATCTTCTGGAACTGCTATCTAGAAACAAATGGTACTGATTCTCCTTGGACTTTAGAGATGGGTTTCTGAACCACAAGGTTCTTCTTGGCCAGACATGTAAAAGCAAATGGACTCTCGCCTCCCACCTCATGGACTCCTCTAGCAGGCTGTCTCATCATTATAGCAGACTGGCAATGCCCATTCAGGCACATTCATGTTTTCTCCTGAACTATTTACAGTGAACACTATTTTTTCCAGTTGCCTTAGATAATATCACATTTTGTCAACATCTATGTTATTGCCTAGGTATTTCTCATAGGAAACACTGCAGGTATTGAGATGGTGCTACATAAGGCAAAGCTGGAATGCTCTTAGATGTACTCACTCTATCTGTCCCTAATGAATGCTAATACTTAATTACTTGCATACCCTAAAATTCAACTGAAATTATTGTTCAGAGAACGGAGATGGGACCCCTGCATAGTAACTAATTTTCAGACTAGTGGTTAAGAACTGAAGGAGTGAAGTTGTACATAACCAGTTCAGATGGGATTTCAAAAGGTATGCAGCAAACTAATAAAGACAGCAAGAGAAGTACCTAGTGTTTATCAATTCAAACATATCTATAGCAAAGTTTGTAAGAGGCTATGGATCAGAGCTACTAATTCCATTTTTATGTTAAGATCATCAGTTTTCATTTTCTGGATTTTAAATTAAAACTGAGCTGGCTTGCATTGTTTTTACTTATTCCTCAAT